GAGAGGAGGAGGAGGGGGAAGTAGGGGAGGGGAGAGGGAGAGGGAGAGATCTCTCCAGATGGCTGCAATGGCCAGAGCTGGGCTGATCCGAAGGAGCCATGAGCTTCTTCCAAGTCTCCAATGCGGGTGCAGGGACCCAAACACTTGGACCATGCTCTACTGCTTTCCCAGGCCATGGCAGAGAGCTAAATCAGAAGAGGAGCAGCCGGGACTTGAACCCGTATGAGATGTCGGCACTTCAGGCGGTGGCTTTACCTGCTATACCACAGCACCAGCCCCAAAAGTTTCTTGCCTTCTCAAGGACTTTGCTTCTACCATCAGTTCCCTCTCTGCTCTTCAAAACAATTTTTTCTCTTATAATGAATTTTAGTGAATACTAATATACTCTACCATTTCCTATCCCAAACAAAAGACACACATCCCTCAAGCTGCAGCATGACTTCCCTGATCATTTGTAATTGCTATTTCTCACTTTCTCATTAAACATTCTCTACTCCAACTTCTCCTCCACAAGTGTGAATCTAATGGTCACATCTTTGTCCTAGTTTACTTGAATGCTTAGATTTCAAGAGAGTTGAACACCTCTCTTTTTCCATTCAACATCTATTAGGCATTATCTATTGGTTCATAATACATCACCTGAAAACCCAGTGGCTGAAAATACTATCCATTATTGCTTATGAGCCTATCTGAGGATCTCCTGTGTGGTTTATATGATCTCTTCTTTGCTCAAGCATGTTTTTATGGTCACCAGCAGGTAATGTGGTTTTGCTGATTTAAGCTAGCTTCTTTCTGGTTGTGGGGTTGGCTAGCTCTAGGATGGTCTCAGAGGAATATTTCAAAACCATCAACTTTGCGTATGTTGGCCATCTCTGTTCTTCACTCTGTCCATCCAGAAAGTAATAGTGATGAAGTATTGATGGCAGCTCTTGACTTGACTTTATGTTTGTGAGCTAAGATACAGAAATATTTGAAATCTATAATTCCTCTACAATTCTGTAAACTCCGTAGTTTGTTTTCAAGTGTGATGGAAATGAGTAAAACCTTAATGGAGTCATATTTCATTTTGTACTTTGTGATTGTGCAAAGGATCAAAATAAGGGTAGAGAGTTGAAAACATGTTTAGGTTTATTTCATTTCTGAGTGATGATCTTATGAATATAAAAAGCTACTTAGTATAGGTACATGCACAAAAAAGGCCAACTTTTTGGTGTGGCTGAGAAAGCTCTCATAGATAAGTGCGTTCTGTCCGAAATATAAAACCTTTTCATATGTATGTAAATAAAGTGAAACTGGGAAGCTCTGCCATCTATGAGAATGTGAGAGTTCTTGGAAGATGATTCATTCAGTTAGTCAAAGATGTGAAACTGCATTTGAATTTAAAACCATGTGAACTGTGTAGTCTCTAAGATGCTGAGGATGGTTTGTACTGACTACATAGTATTTAGGATAGATGTCAGGTCATTGAGAAATTAACAAAAATTATACTATAGTGAGTGAAAAAAGCTGGAAGTGGTGAATATTGTTCTTTGAAATGGGTCTAATATAGTCTCTAAAGAAAATGCTAGAGTGCTTTTAGAGATTCTTTGACTTAACACCATTTTTACATTAAAACACTAATAGAGAATCTGCGACTCTGGAAGGCAGGATGATAGCCAATGGGGCATAGAGAACTCAGGGCACAGGTTGGGCAAGATGCACAGTCTGGTGATAGCCAGTTCTCATCTCTTTCCTAAGGGCGTGGCATCACCTCAAATCTGAGAGAAGTATGGTACTCATTTAATGTGCTTCTAAACATTATTCTATTTCCTGTTGAGGCTGAGATTGACTAACTTGGTGTTCCAGATAAAACATTCAAACTTTCACATCCAGAAAATTGATATCTTGTTTCCATAAGATGATCAAATCTTATGATGTAAGGCAAAACACAAGGCTGTGCTTTTTAGAATTATCTTCCTGCGTAACTGTTCCAATATGTAATTTTACTTATTGTTTTATTGTGAGGGAACTCCAAAACATTCATGGAAACTGAAGTTACAGTTTATTTTGATGCAAAAATGGTTGAAATCCTTGCAGATTGGCTGGTGCTGGGGCTCAATAGGCTAATCCTCCGCCTGTGGAGCCGACACACCGGGTTCTAGTCCCGGTTGGGGCACTGGATTCTGTCCGGGTTGCTCCTCTTCCAGTCCAGCTCTCTGCTGTGGCCAGGGAGTGCAGTGGAGGATGGCCCAAGTGCCTGGGCTCTGCACCCGCATGGGAGACCAGGAGGAAGCATCTGGCTCCTGGCTTCGGATTAGCGCGCTGTGTCGGCCCCAGCGGCCACTGAGGGGTGAACCAATGGAAAAGGAAGACCTTTCTCTCTGTCTCTCTTTCTCTCACTGTCCACTCTGCCTGTCAAAAAAAAAAAAATCCTTGCAGATTTTCTTGTCATAATAAGCATTTCCATGAATTTTTTGAACACCTCCTCCAATTCTTCAAACGTGTTGAAGTGGAACTTCTCCATGGCTGTCCTCATTTTTGGGAGACAAAGCTATTTGATACCTCCTCACCCCCCAAAAAATAGGGGAAGGATTCCCAGGAAATACGATCCCTTCCTGTTCTTTAACTGAGGAATCCATTGTGTTTTTTGTAAATGGAGAAATCTCTGCCAGATAAAATTGATAAACTAACTTGTTTGGTTTTCCTGTCTTCAAAAATTGGGAAAACAGAGAAACAAATGGAATTTAATTTTTCTTATTTATTTAAGATTTATTTATTTATTTGAGAGGCAGAGTTACAGAAAGGCAGAGAGAGAGAGAGAGAGAGAGAGAGAGAGAGAGATCTTCATCCTCTGGGTCACTCCCCAAATGACTACAGTGGCCAGAGCTGGGCCGATCCAAAGTTAGGAGCCAGGAGCTTCTTCCTGGTCTCCTATGTAGGTGCAGGGGTCCAAGCACTTGTGCCATCTTCTACTGCTTTCCCAGGCCATTAGCCAAGAGCTGGATTGTAAGTGGAGCAGCCTGGTCTTGAACCAGCACCCCTATGGGATGCTGGTACTGTATAGGTGGCAGCTTTACCTGCTATGCCACAGCACTAGCCCCTTCCCATTTTTTCCTAGTGTAAATGTAAAATTGATGGTTTCTGAAATATTAAAATACGTGTTAAGGTTTTGTTTACTAAAGGGAATCCATGATGCTAACCTTCTAAAAACAACAGTTTAATCAGTCAACTTTGATTGCTATGACCTGAAGCAATTAACTTCTAAAGAGAATACAGGTTTATTTAGCTCACAGTTTTGAAGATTCAGATCCAAGTTTGGGTAGTCCCATTGGGTTGGCTCTGCTGATGGTGTTCTTGTTGGCACAGGGAATCACATGGCAAGAGACAGGGAGTGTGTATGTGTCTATCTATGTGTCCATCAAGATTCTCTGATGGGGTACCCCTCTAAGTGTCTAACTAACCCAATCACTTTCCCAGACCACACCTCCAAACACTATTAGAGGTGGGTTATGTTTCCGTCTTCTTAGTGCCATTAACATAAAATTTTGGAAATTAAACTCTTGGTTTCAGGGGAACAAATATTCAATCAAAACAATTAAATAACTTCAGTTTATATTTTGAATTAATTGTACAGTTTTGTAACAACTAAATTTACTAATTAAATTTTTGGACTGGAATCACAATCTTTCTGCATATATTATTTGAAATCAAAGACTTTAAGGTATACATGATTCTTAATGATACGAATATAGAAACTCTGGGAGACCATTTGGTGGGAAGCGATGAGGTGGGCACTGGAGTCCTGCAGGATCAATGCTGCCTCTGTTCCCTCAGCATCTCCTGCAAAGCTCTCTAGTCTCTGTTTCCCATTTTGTAAGTGGAGGCACTAACACTGCCTCCACAATGAGACTGAAATAATATAGACATGGAATTAAAATTTTTTAAAAGATTTATTTATTTGAAAGTCGGAGTTAGAGAGAGAGAGAGAAACAGAGAGACAGAAAGACAAAGAGACAGAGAAGGAGAGATGGGGAGATGACAGAAGAGATCTTACATCTGCTGGTTCACTCCCCAGATGGCTATGGAAGCCAGAAGCCAAGAACTTCATCTGGGTGTCAGGGTCCAAGCACTTGGGTCATCTTCTGTTGCTTTTTCCAGGATAGTAATAGGGAACTAGATCAGAGATGGAACAGCCAGGACTGGCGCCCACATGGGGTGCCAGCTTTGTAGGCACCAGCTTTGCCTGCTATGCCGCAGCACTGGCCCCTGTACGTGGAATTTACGAAGTATTTGGTACTTAACAAGAATTTTGCTTAGTTATTGCTAGGAGATAGTGCTAATGGCAATCTAACCTAGTTTTTCTCCTGAGAATTAAAAAGCATTCAAGCAAACATACCCAAACTTCTATGCCATCAGCTTATTATTGTTTTCTTTTAAGAAATATAGTTGAAAGAGAGTAATATCTAGTTAGATGAGGTTAAATAAATAGAGTGGTTATGAAATCCATCTTTCTCTGCCTGTCTCTCTCTGCATGTATATATTTATATATACATTCAGTTCTTAGAAATGTTCTTGGAACTGGTGCTGACATCTTACCATTTTTCTCACTGATTAATGAATTGAATAGAATTCTTGATGATATGACTCATACAGATCTAAAACAAGCATATTATATCCTCCATTTAAAATTATCCTTTAGCACCACAACTAGAAGCAACTTTTCTAAACTGATAAAAATGAGAAATAGCAAGCAAAAATCAAATACACGGAAAAGCTGTCATGACCATATTTTCCTTTCAATATGGAGAGGAAAGTATCAAAAATAATGTTATTCTGCATTCCTGACTTACTCCAAATGAAATGGCAAGGTCATAACTATTGCCAGGACAGTAGAACAGCACTTTTATTTGATTTTAAATTCAGTGCCTATGTATGATTATGCCACATTGAGATTGGTAAGTGTCCAGTAAATTTAAGATTAACATTTCAAATTCCTGAACATGAACATGATGAGAATCAACCAGGAGGCACCCATACCATTTATTGGACGATAGGATGTACATTTAGTTGGGGGTTCTGTAGTTCACATGGATTTCTGGTTTCATGTCGCAGACCATGTTCAAAAGCTGCTCCATCACACTTTCCATGTGCTTTCTGTAGCTTGCATTCAATTCTTGTATCTTCTCTTGTGTTTGTTCTTCTATTTCATCTGACAGATTACCCTGAGAACCCATTACCTACCAAAACAAAACAGAATTCACTATACTATAGAGTGCATTCAATTTGCTTTATTAACTAAGTTTGTCTTAGCCTATTATTGATGATTGTTCTGTGGTATGCACATTATGTATTGCTTTTTCCAGAATGGTTAGAGAACCAGCAAGTTCATCAATATCATGAACGGGAGGGATAAGCTTTCCAGAAAACCAGCAACTGGCCATAGCAGGTTACTTCCACTTGTAGCTGACCTCTCCATAGTACAAATTGGATTCAGGTGCACAATACTTAGATCATACTCATAGGTTCGTTTCTCACACTTTTAACATATTTATAGAAATTTCCACCCACCTTCCATATCTTTCCTATAGCTTACATTCTGAATTACAAGTCTAGAAAATAAAGTTGAAAGACACCATTAAAACCACCTTTCCTCTTTAGTAAAGCAAGAATAACTGATTTTTCTGTATTTAAAAATGTGATCTGAATGAATTTAGTGTTGTTTTAGAGGAAGACCCAGACATGACGTATGCACTAGGACACGTTTACATGCAGATAGAATTTTGAGTACCTTAATACTTCGGGAATTTTAGTGTGGGTTGAATTTGTTTCAAATAGAGATATATTCATTTTACCATGTTATGATTTTTGACACAATTTAATATATCTTTCTGATTGCTCTTTGTGACTCTCAGTGTTTAACACTCACTTCTCTATCCTCTTAGCTTCTCTGTCAAGTAATGGCTTGACCAAAATATAATTTCATCAGGAAAGTTAATAATTTAGAGGAAATCTGTGGTGAAACACTTCGAATGTTCTCCTTTGCTAAAGCGGTCAACTCTGATTTACCTCCTTTGTAAACTGGGCCTGCGAAGGCACGAAGCAGTTTGCTTTTCTCTTCTGTGAGTGTTTAGGGAAGGTACATGTTTAATTCAGTGCAAGAAACCCACCTAATGATTAACTTTGACATCAGCGTTAAGAAGTTCTAAATTATAGAACCTGCCTGATCTTTCTGAGTCCTAACCTTGAAGTCAAATGAGACTGAGGTTATTTAGTTCAAGTTCTTTCCTGCGTTATAGACCAGGCCACAGGGTCTTCCCAGTTCAAAGAAAATCATTTTGAAAGACACAGTTTCTAAGACACCCAGATAACTTAACACAAAATAACATTTAGAGAAGTGAGTATACAAGAAACAGAATCACAAGGGAAAAGTTTGCTTTGCAGAGAAGAACTTTTAAATATAGAAACGAATTACTTAAAATAATTCCACTAAATTTAATTTTTTTCCACTGAATTATATGTCTTAAGTGGGTTTCTACCACACTGCCAAAAAAAAAAAAAAAAAAACTCAAACCCAAAACACCCCACTTTTTTCTCCCTAAATCAATGTATTTTGTGATGAAAAAATAATATAAACTGTTGTGAAACTGTTACCTATTTTTTCATTGAATCAGCATTAATAATAGTTATCATTAGTTTAGTTTAGTGCAACTATTTTATTTAACTTTGGGAGAATTAATGTCAACCCTAGTTCTTCATTTTAGAAATGGAGATGACATCATCCATTTGTTAACGATTGTGAAATATAAAGTAGATTCTTGAGAGCTAAGTGTGCACAGCTGTAGATATGTAGTATGAGGGGCCTGCACTGTGGCATAGCGGTTGAAGCCACTGCCTGCAGTGCCAGCATCCCACATATGTGCCGGTCCAAGTCCTGGCTGCTTTACTTCCCATCCAGCTCTCTGCTATGGCCTGGGAAAGCAGTGGAAGATGGCCAAGTGCTTGGGCCCCTGAACCCTGTGGGAGACCTGGAGGTAGTTCCTGGTTCCTGGCTTCAGATCAGTGCAGCTCCTGACATTGCAGCCATCTGGGGAGTGAACCAATGGATAGGAATCCTCTCTCTGCCTCTGCCTCTCTGTAACTCTGCTTTTCAAATAATAAGAAAATAAATCTGTTTTTTTTTTTTAAAGAAGAAATGTAATATGAGCCACAAAGTGAGACATATATGGAATTTTAAGTTTTCTAGAAGACATGTTCAAAAGGCAAAATAAATGTTATTAATTTTTACATATTTAATCTAATATATCCAAAATTGTATTATTTTAATGTACAGTCAATATAAAAATTTCATTCTCGTTTTCATTCTAATTCTTTTGAATCTAGTGTATATTTTACACTTATTGCTCACTTGATTTGTACTAGCTAAATGTCAAGTGCTCAGTAGCCCAGGTGAGTGATATCCATACTGAATAGTGTAGGTCTAATGCAATAAATGCCATCTCTTAGTATCAGCTATACCCTTAGTGTGCTTCACAAAGACAATATGATAATTTTTTGAATAGAATTATCATTAGGATGACACTTAGTATAGAATCACAGCATTGAATAAGCAATGAGTAAATATCAGACATTATTATTGAGATTTTTCATTGATTGCCCTGCTTACACTTTTGTCATTTCTCTAATCTATCTGCACTTTCATAAATTCTGTGATACTCTTGTAAATACTCCCATAATGGTATGTGTCATCCTGAACCATTAAATATATTTCTGCGCTTATCTGATAGCCAGTAATTTGGGTTTCTATAATATTTCATGGATAGTGCTGAAAGAGTGACTGGCTATCTACAATTCTAAAAGGCCTTCCCAGGGAAGATTTCTGTACTTCCTGTCTGCAGGTATAATGCTAATATAACCCACACAGGCATATAAATGAGTCCATATGAACTCCACAAAAGCAAAACAAGCATCATCCTTGTTCTCCATTGTATTGTAAATGCCTTGAACACTGCTTCATGGGTGGTAGATGTTCACTACATGTCTATTGAACTGGGCAGAAGCAGAATCATTACATTTCCAGGTGGTACAGCGATCCCATTACCTGTATTCTGTTGCTCATCTTGTCAGAAGCCTGTTCCCTGAAAGTTTGGGACACTGTATAAATCAGAGATGATAGTTTTGTGACATGTAATAATACATTTGGTCGAAGAGTGCCATTTAGAGATCTCTCCATGTTCCTTTTCAAAACTTGATTGTCCGCATAAATGTTTCTAGCCTCGCAGCATACTGGCTAAAGATGCTGGTGAAATCTTGCAATATTCTGTAAGTTTCCTTACCTGCTGTTTAAATGTTCCAGTTTAAGGTGAAGCAGAGCTTCAGGTCCTGCTGCCATAAGCAAACAAGCTTTACATTCTCAATTTGTGATTGCTTCAGGAAGTAAAATGTTCTCAAGATAGAAATTAAGGAACAGGGTTAAAGAAGTAAAGATCTTCCACTGCCAAGGGCAACCTTTTCAGGACTTTTGTTTAGGTGCATAGTCCATCTCACTTTTATAACAATATATTTAATTTTCCCAGTGTAATACAGATTTCCTTTCAGCAATGTAATATCTTCTTCAGTAGAAGATTTTATATTGGTCAGCAATGATAAGCAAAAGATAAATAAATCTGTGATCAAATAATATTGGTTGGTGTATTACCCAGATGGAGATACCTGTTTCTGTTGATGTCAGGGGAGTTGAAAAGAGGCAAGTATTGACAGGAGCCGAGAAGCCAGAAAAAGGAAATTTCAAGGTACACAATTCACAGCAGGAGAAAACTGGTGTCCTGGGTCTCTTCCCTGACCTAACTTCCCTGGGTGAGTGCTGGTGAGACCTAAGTGGAACAGCAGCACACCCACACATGGAGGCCGGGCCAAGGGAAGATCTGTGCTAACGGTTTGACAACCTGCTTGAATAGCGGAGACTTAATCATGTTGACTTTCTTGGGTAAGCTTTTGATCAACTAGCAGTAAAAACTGGCTGGATGCTCTTAATCACGAGAACAACGAGGAGTTTCCATTACTGATCTCAGCAGAGGACAAATCCTGAACCCGATTTATTCTTGCCAGAATTCTTCTGGAGAAACAGTATTATTATTATTATTATTATTATTTTTTGACAGACAGAGTGGACAGCGAGAGAGAGAGACAGAGAGAAAGGTCTTCCTTTGCCGTTGGTTCACCCTCCAATGGCCGCCGCTGCAGCCGGCGCACCGCGCTGATCCGATGGCAGGAGCCAGGTGCTTCTCCTGGTCTCCCATGCGGGTGCAGAGCCCAAGCACTTGGGCCATCCTCCACTGCACTCCCTGGCCACAGCAGAGAGCTGGACTGGAAGAGGGGCAACCGGGACAGAATCCGGTGCCCCGACTGGGACTAGAACCCGGTGTGCCGGCGCTGCAAGGCAGAGGATTAGCCTGTTGAGCCGTGGTGCTGGCTGGAGAAACAGTATTTCAAAAGACTGAACTCAACCATTTTCTGAAATTGTGGTAAGTTTTGTTATTCCTTAAAAAATAAAAATAGCTACCATCTCAGAAATGTTCTCCATAATATAATCAAAGCTGGTTGGAGGAGTGGGGCAGGCGTTCAGTCTGTTGACTGAGGTGCTGGTTAAGACATCCACGTCCTGTATTGAACCCTGGGTTTAATGCCTGGCTCTGCTCCCGACTCCAGCTTCCTGCTGGTGCAGACACTAGTGGTAATGGCTCCAGCAGTTGGGCACCTGCTACTCATGTGGGAGAACTGGATTGAATCCCAAGCTCCTGGATTCACTGTCACCAACCCTTGGCTATTGTAGGCCTTTGGGGAATGAACTAATAGATAGGAGGTTTGTGCTCTCTGTCTCCTCTCTCCTCTCCCGTCCCCTCCTCTCCCCTCTCCTCTCCTCGTGTCTTTCTGCCTCTTTTTTAAAAATATTTTAATTTATTTATTTGAGAGAGTTACAGACAGAGGGAAATATGCAGGGAGAGAGGTCTTTGATTTGCAGGTTCACTCCCCAAATGGCCTTAATGGCCAGAGCTGGACCAATCCGAAGCCAGGATCTGGGAGCTTCATCTAGGTCTTCCATGTGGTTGCAGGAACCCAAGCACTTGGGCCATCTTTTGCTGCTTTCCCAGGCCATTAGCAGGGAGTTGGATTGTAAGTGGAGCAGCTGGGACTTGAACCTGTGCTCATATGGGATGCCAGTGCAGCAGGCAAAGGCTTAACCTACATTGCAGTGATGGTTCTTTTCTCTACCTCTTGAATAGAAAAATAAAAATTGAAACAAAAGAAGCTGGTTGGTGTTGAGGATTATTATATCATCAGGTTCTAATATGCAATGATTATGACAGGATTCAGTAGGAAAGATAAAGGCACAGAAGTTATATTTAGTTACTCATCCAGCAAATATTTGCTGCATGACTACAATGGGCAGGCAATGTTGTGTTCTTTTTTCTTTTTTAACTGGAGAGATACAGAGAAAGAGAGAGAGAAGCATGCATGCTTCATGCTTCTGCACTAGCTGGAAATTATAGTGAGAGGTAGACATGGGCACTGAATCCATGCGTTCTATTTTTGTGTTAAGATTTATTTTGTTTATTTGAAAGGCAGAGTGACAGTGGGGCGGGAGGGGAGAGAGAGAGAGAGAGAGACAGAATGAGTGATATATCTTCTGTTCACTGTTTCATTCCCCCAATTGCTGCAATAGCCTGGGCTGGACTAAGCTGAAGCCAGGAGCCAGGAACTTCACCCAGGCCTCCCGAATGGAAGGCAGGGATCCAAGTACGTGGACCATCTTCTGCTGCTTTCCCAGGTGCGTTAGCAGGGAGCTGGGTGGAAAGCTGAGCAGCAGAGACTCCCAACTGGCACTCTGATATCAAACACCAGCTTCCTAGGCAGCAGCTTAACTGCTCTGCCACAATGGCCACCCAGCACCCAAGCATTCCGACACAGGGCATGGACATCCCAACCAGTAGGCCAAACATGCTCCCCAAGATGCGATTTTATTATCTGGGAAAACAACAGAGAATAAGGCAAATAAAGAATTTGCTATTTTGGTTCTTACAATCCAGAAAAAAAAGATAGGAAGTAAGCAAAAAATGTGAAGATACAATACAGCAGATAATGATAAACGCTAAGAAGAAGAATGGACTATAATAGGGTCTTGTTTATAAGAGACGCGATTTTAGATAAGATCATCAGGAAGAAGGGCTAACCATTGAATGGAGACCAAGACGATAATTGTTTCTAAATGGAGAGAGTTGCATGGTCTGTTGTATGGGCCACAAGACAGTGGTGTATTCTGCCTGTCTGAGAAATAGGGAGCAGAATGGATGGAAGAGAACAAGCAGAGACAAGGGCGGTGGAAAATGTGATTGCAGAGGTACAAAGGGCAATTATGTGTGTGGGCTATGGTTCTAGGATTTCTTTTTCCAAATAGGAAATATTTATTTTCACCAAGTAGGCAACCTTATTCTAGGAGAAACTTTTTTTTTTTTTTTAAAGATTTATGTTATTTATTTGAAAGAGTTACAGAGAGAGGTAGAGACAGAGAGAGAGGTCTTCCATCCGCTGGTTTACTCCCCAAATGGCTGCAATGACCAGAACTGGGCCTAAATGAAGCCAGGAGCCAGGAGCTTCTTCTGGATCTCCCACGTGGGTACAGGGGCCCAAGGGCTTGGGCCATCTTCTGCTTTCCTAGGCCATAGCAGAGAGCTAGATTGGAAGTGGAGCCGCTGGGGCTCGAACTGGTGCCCATATGGGATGCCGGCAGTTTAACCTGCTGCACCACAGCGTTGCTTCCACCACCACCACCACCACCCCCCCGCTTTTTAAAGATTTATTTTATTTAAGGAGAAACTTTTTACTTGAGGGAAGAGCCCACTGAAATAGTTTTTTTCAATCAAGAGATCCAAATTACCTGCTCCTATACGAGCTCTTCTTCTGTCACCAGGACATAAAAGTTGTGAATAGAGACACTGCCAACAGCAGTGTAGTTCATTTTGCAATGTTAGCTTCTGAACAGAGCTTTATTTATATTTTCATCAAAAATAAAATGTAGGGGCTGGCGCTGTGGTGTAGTGGGTAAAGCCATGGGCTGCAGTGCTGGCATCCCATATATGCACTGGTTCTAGTCCAGTCTACTCCACTTCCAATCCAGCTCTCTGCGATGGCCTTGGAAAGCAGTAGAAGATGGCCCAAGTCCTTGGGCCCCTGCACCTGCAAGGGAGACCTGGAAGAAGCTCCTGGCTCCTGACTTCGGATTGGCACAGCTGCGGCATTGCGGCCACCTGAGGAGTGAACCAGCAGATGGAAGACCTCTATCTCTCTCTCTCTGCCTCTGCCTCTCTGTAACTCTGCCTTTCAAATAAAAATAAAATAAATCTTTAAGAAATTAAATATCATAAACTTTATGACACACAGAGTATAATGCTTTCTGTATTTTAGTTCATATTACAGCAAGGAAAGTATGATTTAAGCTCTGGAAATATCAAAATATCATGCACTTATTTTTCTGAAAATGGCAGATATTTTTAAAATGGCATTGTGGAAAAAGGTATTTCCTTTTTGTAAATATTTATTTATTTATTTGAGAGGCAGAGTGAGAGAGAGAGACATCATCTATCTACTGTGCTCTCCCCAAAATGGCCCCAATAGCTAGGTCTGGGCCAGGGTGAAGCCAGGAGCCAGGCTCCATCTGGGCTCTCGCATGAGTGGCAGGAGCCACGTAAGTATGTGAGCCGTCTTCCACTGCCTTCCCAGGCAAATTAGCAGGGAACTAGATCAGAAGCGCGATAGATGGGACTTGAACTGGAGCTATCAACTGGGATGCTGGCGTCACAAGCAGTGGCTGAGCCCACCATGCCACAATGTTGTCCCCAAGAAAAAGTCTCTCTTAATAGTTAAACAAAAGACTGACTGAATGAAGCCAGCCAGTTGAAAAGAGATCATAAAGAAATGACAGAAGGCTTTTTGGGAATTTGCAACAACACTTACTATGGTCACTTGGAAATTGTGGCTCCATCAAAGGCAACTTGGTCTAAAAAATTCATTTTGTATCTTAGCATGCAACATTTTTTATTGATTCTATTGATAAAAATTAACAGACAAAAATATGTTTTCTGAAGTTTATTTTCTTAAATCTGTCAGTCAATTATACTTTGAGCACTCCCTGAAAGTTGTATATTTAGGAATATGATTTTCACATATACTATACATTAGATAGTAACTATTGATTGAGCCTTTATATGAAAAATTAAAAATGACTTGAAAGTAAAAATATAAAATAAATAATTTCGTTATGCTGGTTGAACTAATTTGTTGAATTGTGTATTTCTCTCTGATGGTCTACCTTACACCTTATGAATATTAATATATTATAATCTATGCTGCATGAAAATTAGTGCTGACTTTCTGACTTACCTTAGATTGCTTCAGTCGAAACTCCTTTTCTCTTTGCATTTTGTACTGATCAATTTCTGCTATTGCTTCTTCCTTAGCTTGCTTCAATCGCTTGCCTTTTCCTGAAAATTAATAGTAGAATAGAAGGAATATTTCTTTTTAATATACATGGAATTTCAAACTTAATTTTTAAAAACACAGATAACTTCTCCATTTTAAAATTTTTTTCTAGAATGCCAAGCTTCATTAAAAATATATGTTAAAATTTTTTCTTTTTTTTTGTTAGACATGGAAATGACAACTTTGTCTTACTCTTGCATGCTTAAATATCTGCCAATTTACTCACAGCAGTAACATCCAGAGAACAGATTTTAGCTATCACTTACTTGAAAATACATTATTTGGTCAGATTTTCTGTCGTGATTTGCTGCCAGGAATCCCTCAGTCCACACCAACTGGATCCTATTTAGCACTGGCAGATCTCCAACTTCGCTGCAAACAGGCAATCTATACTCTATCAAACTGACTTAGGATTTTTCTTTTAAATATTTTATTGGGATTTTTTTTCTTGCCATTTGTAGATTCTAGAATGTCTGAGTAAGTCCCATAGCACATCAAAGTAGATGTGTTTTTCTAGTGGCTTTCTCAGAGACGGACTTGAAAGTGACTGTGAAACCAATTGATTTTAATGGTTGGAAGACTTCCTTAAGTAGCCCCTTTTCTTTTATGAAGAGCACAGGGGTAAGCCTTAAGCCAGGAGACAATGTAGGTGAGAGTTTTAGACAAGTGCAACACTGTGAGGATCATTAGCTAAGCACATGAGCTTTTTGACACTTCGAAAAATTTGGGTGGTTCTAGACTGCAGACTGGATTATAGAATCACTGCTATGCCTCCACTGTGCACCACTTTCAAGAGCTGGGATACTAAGACTTTGTGATCCTCAAAACTTTAAAGAAACTGAACTGTATCGGCATTCTTTTCTTCTCCAAATCCACTGCTTGTCAAAATGCCTTCATTCTTTTGCCTATTTAATGTAGTTTCTTCTCTTTACTAATGCTTCACTTTTTTTCCCATAAATTTCATAAACTGTTATATTGTTATAGTATATAGACTGGGAACTAAATAATGTGCTCTTATCTAGTAGCATGAAATTCTCAGTATAAACTTTAATCTGTCTATCTGAAATCCATGTATGTGTTTATATACCTTTGTACCACTGGACTGTTGATTGGTTCTAAATTTCTTGCTAGGATTGAGTTGCTTTGCTGGTGTCTGTATTGGCAACAAAGCTTGTTTCACTGCGTTTTGATGGACATGTGTCTCTCAGTGCCACTCACTCTTGAGTGGGACAGAGATTCAGCTCTGCTCCTTCACTTTCTTTAAAAAATCTAAGATCTGGTGAGTAACGCTCTTCTGATCCTTTAGACTTAGTGGAACACAAATGATACACTTCCCTTTTCCCTGCTTAATGAATGCTTCTTACCATTTTGTACATATGAATTTCTTTAGTTCTAACCATTTTGTGTCAACCAAACACACACTATTCAGAGAGCCCTTGTGAATAGAACCAATACATTTAGGAATGTTGGTGGGAAAAACTATTCCTGGATCCCTAGCCTGTTTTCTTGTCGACTGCTTGTCATTAACATCTGAACAATATAAAATGTCCATATAGTAATATTTCCTTAATAATAATGTTTGGTAGGACATATAATTATTTTATTAAATAAATCACATGGAACATCATTACTGTCCACCTTCATTGCATAATATATAAAAATATTGGTTTGAAAATCACAGCTTTCTAGCACATAAAAAAAATAGGAAAAGCTCTGTAAGCAGAATCCAGCGCTCCACCAAGAGGCTGCATATTAGCTCCGTCACACAGTGACAGGCTCTGAGTGCGTCTGTGATTCCCCGTCATGGCACCAGTCACCTGCTGGTTCTCATTCAATTAAACAGGAGAGCCACGGGGAAATCGCTGCTGGCGCAGCGATTTTCTGGATAGACTCAGCAGCTGCCGCTGTGTGAGAGCCTGCACATGCTACACCTGATTTAATCTGGTTGCAGAAACTGGAGCCTCAAGCCTACTGTTCTGTTAGGGGTGAAGAAGAATGTGTGCATCATATCCACTTGTGTTAACCTCTAGCTTGATTCTCTGTATGTAGGAAGATGGCCAAATTTAAAAGTTTGTATTTGGCTTCTTAAGCATTGAAAACATGGTTTCTGTGAACCCAGAGAGGTTCGTGCTCTGATTTTTAATACACACTCAAACATGGGGAGTGAGCATATGGGACAGTTCAGATTTTAGATATGAAAATCAAACACATGGTTTCCAAATCCTTGTAAGTGCACACAAGTTTATCAGGGCAAATAATCTGGTTTTTGGTTAACATACTACACATCACAATTTTAAATAATGCTAAAGCAGATTTTCCAGAATGGTGTCAAGATGGTTTTGCTATATTTTTACATTCTTTCAATGTTCATCAAACATCTACTATATAAGCATAGTGCAAACAGGATAGAGAAATACATATGATATGGACCTTGCCTACAGTTGGCATAAATTCAGTGCATTATGGAGATGTATACATGCTGCCCCAGTTTCCAAAATCAAAATTGTGAAATATATAAAATTGTGGAGTACACAAAATCAACCATGAAAATAATGAGACCCAAATCTTAGTTCTGTTTGCTTTGTGACAGTAAAAAATCACAACTTTATGGAGACATCTACTACTGAAATTGAAAGAATCTGTGCTTCTCCTTCATCCAGCACATATGTTCTGTCAAATGTTAACAAAATAAGCCCAAAACATCAATAAATTGGGCATGTATCATGAGGACTCAAAGCAGGGCTGTTGGGTGAAATCAGAAAAGACTTCTTGGCTGAATAGATTTTTCACCCAGGGCAGCAATGAAAATGCACATGCCATTAGGGAGATTAGAAAAATTTAAGAAGATGTTTATCTACCTTTCTCTCTCTCTCTCTCTCTCTCTCTCTCTCTCTTTCTCCCCCTCCCTCCTTTCCTCCCTCCCTCCCTCCCTCCCTCCCCTTTCTCTCTCTCTCTTTCTCTCCCTTTCTCTCTCTCTCTCTCCCTTTCTCTCTCTCTCTCTCTCTCTCTCTCTCTCTCTCTCTCTCTCTTTGAGAGGTAGAGAGACAGAGCAAGAGAGCACTCTCATTTATTGATTCACGCACACATGCCCCAAATGCCCGCAACAGCTGAGAGCCAGAAATGCAATTCAGGTCTCCCACATGGGTGGCAGGGACCCAAATGAGCTATCATCATTGACTCCCAGGTCTGCATGCAGGAAACTCAAGCTTAGAATACAACCCAGGTACTCCATTGTGGACGTATTCTTGACTGGTAAATGCCTGCTGTGAAGTAGATCCTTTGTAAGTTTTGAAGACTGTTCAGTTTCATCTTTAAAAAACAAACAAACAAACAAACAAAAAAAAAACCTGTTCATTTTTTACATATGTGACTTACTTTGCAGAAATGTCCTAGATTCCACAGGTCACTGAGATATGAAGTATGTTCAATAGGATATTTTGTGGGCAGGAAAAGAGAAGGAGGAAGAAGTTGAAACAGAAATTTGGGGACAGGATTAAAAATCTGATTTTGAGTAGATAGAGAGTAGTACTTAAAAGATAGGATTTTTCTGGCTTCCTGGCTAAGACAGGTCAAGTGAACTGATGTCTCAAGTTGCGAAAATGCTTTTCAGATACTATAAAGCATATTCTCTTACCTGAATTGCTAAATTTCTTCTACATATTTTTTCTGATGGGGAAAATGGAATTTCTATCTTGATATAAGGAATGAGAATTATACACAGGGCATCTCTACAATGAGATATTAGAAGCTCTGCAATTTTGAGCAAGTCACTTCGAATTTTTGAGCCTGTATTTTCTCATGTATAAAACACAGTGAAAAATCTACGTCAAAGAGTCATTGGAAGGCTTAGGAAAAAAAGTATATGAAGTGCTTGACAAAGAGTGGTTGTTGAATAATTTTTAGTCTTTATTAGGAAAGCAGACCTGATTCCTGGGACTTTTGCTAAGGAGGAAAGTGATGAGTAAAGCATAAGTTTGAGGGAAAGTCCCCAGGCCATCACCCTGGAGGCTTCCCAGGGCAGCTGCTAAGAGGGCAGCTGGACAGGCAAGTTTGGAATCTAGGAGAAAGGTCCGGAATGCAGACAGAGATGCACGCCAGTCATCTGGGTTTGGGGTATTGCTTGTCACAGCAATGGGATTTGGACAGAAATCAAAGGCGAGTGCATGGAATGAGGAAAAAGGAGAGCCAAGGTCTCAGCCCAACTGGCACTCTGTGTTTGGGCTTCTGGCCCCTAGAAATGAGGGATAATAACTTTCCATGGTTTAAAGCAACCCAGTTTGTGGCCAGTAAACTGCTACAGCAACCCTAGGGAAGGCAGAGGGGGTGGTGAGGAGCTTGGAGGCAGTGAGGGACTTGAGCTTTGGAGTCAGTACCAGATGCCCTAGTGTGGTGGAAAGAGTTGTCATCCGAATGAGTTGGCCATGTGACAAAAGTACTCCAGGACAGAACAGAGGCCACCTTGGTTTGCTATGGAAAACAAAGCATATTTTAGGACTGTTTGGAAATTTCTCTCTGTTCCTATCAATCATTTTGTTCCTATTCTATTACTCAGGAAAAGAAAGCAACCGCACTTGCTTACTGATGCCATGAGGAAACCAACCTGATTCAGGAAATCCTATTATTTTTATCGGCTACTACAAATGTTGGGAAAAGAAGTAAGTCACCAGGAAAACAAGGAGGCATTCCCGCCTCGGATGACAGGGATTGCTACAGAACTGCTCTTCTGCCTCTGTTCCCTTTCAGAGCTCCACTTCCTTCCTGTTTTTCTTTGCTTATATTTTCCGTATGAAAAAATCTAGACACTTTTGTATGGATCCTGCATTGAATATAAGGAAATGCCATTAACAGATGAAAATTATTTTGTGGTTGCTATTTTAGTATTACCAACTCAAAGAAAAGAAAGGCCAGTGTATTTACAAATAGCCTGGTAGTCTGTGGACTATAAAGACAAAGTATTTATAGGCTATAAAACGTACTAGACAGGGCCATGAAACTCTAATAT